TATATATATATATATATATATATATATTCACTTTTGGAATATATATTAGAAATTTTCACAGTATTTGCTTTAATATTTTTTCTTCTGGAGAAAGTCTTATTTGTTTAATTTCGGCTTCTGTAAAAGCACTTCTTAGTTTTTTAAATCATTTTACTGTCAATATTATCAGCAATGTTTTACAGGAGGGCTAAAAAAATAAGTCTTTATTTTTAAATATTTTGTAATTTTTAAACATGTTTCTCTACTTTTAAACCCTCTCGTACCCTCTCTCTTGTTGAAAATTGCTAATCTAGACTATCTAAATAAATTAATACTCAGTTGTGAATTGATTAAATATATCATCTCTGTTCCGTCATCTTAGATGGTTCAGCTGCTGGTGTCCAGAGGAGCAAACATCAACGCTTTCGATAAGAAGGACCGGCGAGCTGTTCACTGGGCCGCATACATGGGTAAAACATGAGGATAAAAAGAAAACACACACCTACCTTAAACTGTGTCTAATGTGAAATCTTTGTGTGTGTGTGTGTGTGTCAGGTCATTTAGAGGTGCTGAAGTTCCTGGTGTGTCGCGGCGCGGAGGTTTGCTGTAAGGATAAGCGGTCGTACAGTCCTCTCCACGCCGCTGCCTCCAGTGGGATGATCAACGTGCTCAAATACCTGCTCAGTCTGGGTGTGGATGTGAGTAAGCCCCACCCACAATGCACATGTAGCCCCGCCCCCTCAGGTTATGTTTTAATGGGTTTGCAGAACAATCATTTTAAAATAATAACGTGTCAACTTGTGTTCTTTCAATTTTATAGTTCATAAATAAATTAAGCGCTTATGATATGTATTCTAAATATTTATTATTATTATTATTATTATTATTATTATTATTATTATTATTATTATTATTATTATTGTTATTGTTATATATCTTACTTTTCCATAATTTATTTTATTTTTAAATCAAAATTTAATTACTAAAATGCATAACTTAATACATAACATTTAAGAAACATTAAAAAGAAATATTAATTAATACATTTAATAATAATAATAAATTTATTTAAAAAAACTTTATATATATATATATATATATATATATATATAATATGCAAAAAAAAATATTTAGAAAAGTACATATATACGTTTATTTATTCATTTTAATTATTTAGAAATTGTATTTATTTGTTTATATATTTGTTAATTATTTATTTCTTTTATTATTTTATTTATTTATAAATATTTTTATTATTTTATTTATTTTATTAATATGTTTATATATTTATTTATGAATATCATTTATTTATTTGTTTATTTATTTATTTATATGAAATATAAAAAATTATAAATTTAGATTAATAAAATGGTTATGCATTGTGTAAGGGATTTTAGCATAATACAATATAATATAATATAATATAATATAATATAATATAATATAATATAATATAATATAATATATCAAGCAAATCAACATAAATGTATTATTTTTATTAAAGAACGGCTTAATTATCTCTGCATTAATCATCTGCATGAAAGGTCAATTTATTTGTTTGCTTATTTATTTTATAAGTCAAATTTATTCTTTATTCAATTACTATATAATGTATTTATCTGATGCTAATCTGAATTTTTAGCATAATTTCTGCAGTTTTCAGTGTCACAAATCATCCAGATATATCATTAGCTACTCAAGATAATTATAATAATTGTTATTATCATTTCTGAAAACGCTTTATCCACTTCATATTTCAAATGCTTCAGAAGAACAGCATTATATAATTATGCAGTGGAATCGGTTCAATTACTGGCATATAAGGAAAATTAATTATAATATTAAATATTTATTTCTGCTACAAGTGATTTTAGAAATATCTGCTTGTTATCCTGGAGATAGATTGTGCTGTTTCAAATTCAGTATAGAAACAATGACTGAAACGTGTTAAAGCATCTGATGTTTGTGTGTGTTTAGATAAATGAGCCGAATGCGTATGGAAACACGGCTCTCCATCTGGCGTGTTTTAACGGCCAGGATGTGGTGGTGAACGAGCTGATAGCGGCAGGAGCAGATGTCAATCAGGTCAATGAGAAGGGCTTTTCTGCCCTGCACTTCACCGCTGCGTCCCGTCAGGGCGCTCTCTGCCTGGAACTGCTCATCGCCAACAGAGCCAACCTCAACTGCAAGGTCCCACACATTTAACACTAGATTTACAGATGAAGTCACAGTTATTTTATTTTCTCAATATTTCCCAAATGATGTTGAACAGATTCTGGAATTTTTCACAGTATTTCCTATAATATTTTTTCTTGTGGAGAAAGTTTTACTTGTTTTATTTTGGCTAGAATAAAAGCAGTTCTTAATTTTTTTAAAGCATTTTAATATCAATATTATTTGCCCCCTTAAGCTATATTTGTTTTGGATTGTCTACAGAACAAACCACTGTTATACAATGACTTGCCTAATTACCCTAACTTTACCCTAATTAACCTAGTTAAGCCTTTAAATGTCACTTTAAGCTGAATAGAAGTGTCTTGAAGGATATCTAGTCAGATATCATGTGCTGTCATCATGGCAAAGATAAAATAAATCAGTTATTAGAGATGAGTTATTAAACTATTATGATTACAAATGTGCTGAAAAAATCTGCTCTCCGTTTAACAGAAATTGGGAGAAAATTTACAGGGGGCTAATAATTCTGACAACTGTACATTTAGGCTGATTTTGGTCTTTGATGTAACGTGAGCATGAATGTTGTTTTCAAAATGCTGTAATTATTATAAATAAGAACTGATCTGCGCATATTAAACGGAAATACAGTAAATAAACCAGAAAGAGTCAGAATCATAAGGTGGATTTATAAAATGATTTGCCATTTTTTTGGTCATTTTCAGGAGCGCAGAGTACACGCATACACACATATCAACACAAGAAGACAGAAGCACTTATAAATAAGTGGAAAATATAGTAAACATAAAAAATGATGAAGTTAAATCTATACATCTAGATGGTGTGTGTGCAATATGTGCATTGTTGCAAATAAGAAATACAAATATTTATATAAAAGTCTTTACATTTAAGAGGCTTGATTGGTCACAAAAACCGAAGAATTAACCTAAGAATTAATGCAGGTTCAAGAGTTCACAGCTAAGTTTGTTTGGCATGAGAGAGCCCCGAGCTCAAGGGATCCTCGAGCCCTGGGCTTCCTCCCGTTCGCAGAGCAAAAGGGGAGCCTGAGCTCAGTGGATCTCAGAAGTCCCCGGCTCCAGTAGCTAAGGGAACATGTGAGAAAAGGGGGTTAGACAAGTGTTTGATTTTTATGCATGATGTATATCTTTGGATGGTGGAAGGAAACCTGAGAACCCGGAGACAACCGGCGGGACCAGGGCCGGCAGTGTTCTTGCTGTGGGGCTCACAGTGCTAACCACTGGGCCGCCGGGCCGCCCGATCAATGGTAAAGGAGCAGAATTGGGGAGGTGGGGGGGGGGGCGATTTCTTCCAAACGAAGATGGAATGGACTGAAAGCTGTGGTTATTTATAGTAGCTTAGGGCTCGTATGATTGGAAGATAATGATTAGCTGACGCTCCATTCACACGGGGCGTCAGCGTCAACGCTTCCCATTCACTTTGAATGGGTGACGTCAGGCGTTGCCGAACTGCATTGTGGATCGAATGCGTCAGCCAATCAGATCGCTGTATGCAAATACACCAGTTAGACAGTGGCCTATTGCTGACTGAATTTCATTGGCTAAAGCTGCTTTGACGATCTCTTCAGCCCCAACCTCAGACACGCCTTCAGTCAAGCGTTGACGCTGAAGCCCCGTGTGAATGGGGCGTAATACGAGGCCGGCCATGATAAATCATAAGCACGTGATCCTCTCGAAATGAGTTTATAAATAAACCTCACTTAATAATATTATTAGCATTATCTAGTGCCATACTGTGTGTTTGATCACAAATGCTGTAAATGCTGAAAATTCTGCAACAGATTACAAAATAAATTGCATTTTAAAATATTTAAAGTTATTTTAATTTGCAATAATATTTCACAATTTTACTGCATTAACCACATATATACTACCTGACAAGAGTCTTGTTGTGGATCCCAGTTGTAAGAGCAGCAAATAATACCTTGACTTCAAGTTGATCATGGGTAAAAGTGTTAAAAAGGTGGATTTCTCTGCTGAATCATCTGTCAAACTGCATCCCAATCATCATGGAACCAGCATGGACCAAGATTCTCATAGAAATCAGTCAAGTTTGGTGAAGAAAAAAATCATGGTTTGGGGTTACATTCAATATGGGGGTGTGCGAGAGATCTGCTCCACGATTGGCCAGCCCAGTCACCAGACATGAACATTTTTGAGCATGTCTGGGGTAATATAAAGGAGGAGGCATTGAAGATGAATCAAAAGAATCCTGATGAACTCTGGGAGTCCTGCTGAACGCTTTCTTTGCCATTCCAGATGACTTTATTAATCAATGGTTTGAGTCATGTCAGAGATGTATGGATGCAGTCCTCCAAGCTCATGATGGAGTCAGACACAATATTCATTCTGTCTCCACTGCAGCAGGACTTTATATTCTATACTGGACATTATTTCTGTTCAGCGATGAGACTTTAGTCTAAGCAGAGTCAGATCTTACTGTCCTAATGACATCAGTCAAAATCAAGACATGATCATATTTTATTGTGCTCAAATTAGCATCATCTTAAGGCCTTTGCCTTTCATATTTCATATTTCTAAGCTACTTCTGATACCAAATCATCAACTGGAAGTCATGTTATTATTTGTTGTTCCTAAATAGGTGACAAGACTTTCGTCAGGTAGTTTATATACATGATTAATTAAATAATACCACGGTGAACATACGTCTTTTTTTTAAATAAATATTAATGTAACTTCTCCTCCAGAGTAAAGATGGTAAAACTCCTCTCCACATGGCAGCCATTCACGGCCGATACTCCAGATCACAGGCCATCATTCAGAACGGTGAGGGTTTGTTTGTATTTACCTATATTCATGTTTACATCTGTTTATTATCATTTATATTGTACTTTTACTATGTTTGTAAAGCGCTTCGAGCTGCAGTACGAATAATGCTTTTATTGCTGAGATTTTTTGTCTCATTTTATTGTCCAAATATCTAAAAATGCTTAAATCAAGGAGTGTTTTCTAGACAAGTAAAACAATGTAGTCTCATTTTAACAAATAATATGCCAAAACTAGCAGAGTTTACCTTTAAAACAAGTGAAGTAATCTGCCAAAGTGATACACAAAATAATCTTGTTGACATGAGACTATTTCGCTCACCCCATTGGCAGATTATTTTGCTTGTTTTAAGGTAAAACTCGCTTAATTTTGACATTTTATTTATATTTTTTGCTTATCTAAAAATGCTTCTTGATTTAAGAAGTTTTAGGTATTCGGAGTAAAATCAAGACACAAAAATCCAAGTTAGAAAAGCATTATTTACAGTCTACCTTTAAAAGCGCTATTTAAAAATAAAGTTTATTATTATTAATATTATTATTATTATTATTATTATTATTGATGTTATTATAATTATTATTAATGTTATTATGATTATTTTTATTATTAATATTGATGTTGTTATTATTATTATTATTGTTATTATTAATATTATTATTATTATTATTATAAATGTTATTGTTGTTGTTATTATTATCATTATTATTATTATTATTAATGCTATTATTATTATTAATATTATATATTATATATATATTATTGTTGTTGTTGTTATTATTATTGATGTTATTATTATTATTATTATTATTATAAATGTTATTATTGTTGTTATTATCATCATTATTATTATTATTATTATTATTATTATTGTTATTATTAATGCTATTATTATTATTATATATTATATATATTATTGTTGTTGTTGTTGTTGTTTTTATTATTAATGATGTTATTATTTATTATTATTATTATTATTAGTAGTAGTAGTAGTAGTAGTAGTAGTATTAATGTTATTATTATTATTTATATTATTTTTATTATTATTATTAATGTTATTATTATAATTTTCTGCCCATCTCTTGTTTATCTTCCTCTTCATCTGTAGGTGCAGAGATCAACTGTGAGGATGAGAACGGAAACTCTCCTCTTCATATAGCGGCTCGATACGGTCACGAGCTGCTCATCAACACACTCATAACCAACGGTGCTGACACAGCAAAGTGAGTCAGAGAGTGTGTTTTCACAGTTATGGCTAATATATGCGCTGGCGCTGATCATGTGACTCCGCCCACTGTAGGCGGGGCATCCATGGCATGTTCCCTCTCCATCTGGCAGCACTGAGTGGATTCTCCGACTGCTGCCGGAAACTTCTCTCCTCAGGTAAAACATGCGGAAACATTTTCTTTAAAGGCCATGAATTAATGAGTTAACACGGTTATGTTAATGTTTTTTTATTTTCTGTTATTTTTATTCATATTTTACCTTTATTCTACACTTCTGTTTTCCTAATAATCATCTGCTGACTTCCTATTTTTATGAAGCCCCTCCCCCAGATATGCACAATGAACTCTGATTGGTCAGTGTTTTCTGATTTGCCCACTTCTTAATACATTTCAAAGGATACATCATTAAGGGGGTGGGGTTTATGTAAATTGTAGAACTGTGATGTCACAAACTCTGGAATTTCTTATTGCAGTTTCTCAGCAGCTTGTTTTATGTCTCTTTAAAATTTTAAATAAAATCTATTTTAGCACCAAACTTTTAGTGCTATTGATTTTCTTTGCAGTCAATCAGCAACATTACACACTAACTAAACTGAAATCATAATCAAGGCCCTTTTTAAAAGTGATTTTTGAGCATAAAGCTGTGGTTTAGTGATGATGTTAATGTTTTTGGTTCAGGTTTTGACATAGATACGGCGGATGACTTTGGCAGGACGTGTCTGCATGCGGCGGCTGCAGGAGGGTCAGTCGCAGCATTACTTCTCTCTGATTGGCTCATCAGCGCTCTCTTGTGTCCTGTGTTTATTGTCTTGTGTGTTTAACTTGTCTTTCTGCAGGAATCTGGAGTGCTTAAATCTGTTGTTGAACACAGGTGCTGATTTTAACAGGAAAGACCGATTTGGGAGGTGAAATATTTCAGATTATCAAACATATATTAACCCAGAAATCAGTTTTGATTTGTTTAATGTAATTCTTCTCTGGTCACCAAGATTGTTTAATGTATATGTATTTAAATCTAATTGAAGCACATCATTATTTCATTAATATTATAATTAAAGACGTGTTTTAAAATTTCAAAAATGTAGTTTTAATTAAAAATCTTTTATCCGTTTATCCACATTTAATTTGTATTTGTTTTATTATTATTCATTTTTAATATCTGTATAAATTATATCATAATATTTCTCTTATGCAATTTTTAAATTTAACGTTATGCAATGTTAATATTATATAATATAGTGCATATATACACATATAGTTTATGATACAATTTATTAAATAAATAAATTACTATATATTCGTTTTTTAATATATATTATATCATATTAAATTTTATTATGTTATATTATATTATATTATATTATATTATATTATATTATATTATATTATATTATATTATATTATATTATATTATATTATATTATATTATATTATATTATATTTTATTATATTATATTTTATTTTATTATATTATATTTTTTATATTATATTATATTTTTTATTATATTATATTATATTATATTATATTATACTTTATTATATTATATTATATTTTGTTATATTACATTATATTATATTTTTTATTATATTATATTATATTATATTATATTATATTATATTATGTTATGTTATGTTATGTTATGTTATGTTATGTTATTTTATGTTATATTATATTATATTATATTATATTATATTATATTATATTATATTATATTATATTATATTATATTATATTATATTATATTTTTTTCAGAGAGACTGGGCTATATATTTTCTTTCAGATTCCCAGCACAGATGTTGCTGGATTGATAAAGCAGATCACAATTCTTGCAGGAGGAATATGATTATGATTTCTGTTTCTGTCTGTCTGTGTGTCAGGACGGCGCTGCATTACGCTGCTGCTAACTGTAACTATCAGTGTCTGTTTGCTCTGGTTGGTTCTGGAGCGAGTGTGAACGAGCGAGACATCAGAGGCTGCAGTCCATTACACTACACTGCTGCTGCAGACTGTGATGGCAAGTGAGTGACACACACACACACACACACACATTCTGGTGGGGACTTTTATAGACACACTGATGGTTCTGCAGACTTGTAATTCACAGTCTGAGTCACAGGACTGATTTTTATAATCCCCATAGACAAGAAAAAATAGTGACTGCAAATTAAAGGAAAGTAGTGGAGTTAAAGTACCGATACAGCACTAAACATGTACCCAAAAGAAAAGTACAAATTTATAAAACTACTTAGTAAAGAACAATTCCTGAGAAAAACTACTGAATTACAGGAATTTGCGTATTTCTAACTTGTTACTTTATACCAGGGGTCACCAATCTCGGTCCTGGAGGGCCGGTCCCTGTAGGGTTTAGCTCCAACTTGACTGAACACACCTGCCTGGATGTTTCTAGTATACCTAGTAAGACCTTGATTAGCTTGTTCAGGTGTGTTTGTTAGGGTTAGAGTGAAAATCTGCAGGACACTGGACCTCCAGGAACAAGTTTGGTGACCCCTGCTTTACACCACTGGTCATCACTATATTATATTAGTCATAACTGTGTGTGTGTGTGTGTGTGTGTGTGTGTGTGTGTGTGTGTGTGTGTGTGTGTGTGTGTGTGTGTGTGTGTGTGTGTGTGTGTGTGTGTGTGTGTGTGTGTGTCTGTGTGTGTGTGTGTGTGTGTGTGTGTGTGTGTGTGTGTGTGTGTGTGTGTCAGGTGTCTTGAGTATCTGCTGAGGAATGATGCTCATCCAGCTCTCAGGGATAAAGACGGATACAGCGCTGTTCATTACGCCTCAGCGTACGGTCACCGAGTGTGTCTGGAGCTGGTCAGTTCTTCATCTAAACTCTAAAACTAAAGCTTTAACCCTGCTGCTGTGAGTCTGGAGCTCAAACATGTGCTTCATTTTGCAGATCGCCAATGAAACGCCGTTAGATGTGGTGAGTGTAAATCTGCATTTCTGTGTTAATTCACAATGTCTGTGCAGTGCTGCTCTCTAATGGCCACAAGAAACACAACAGGAGATTTAAATCGAGGCTATTTACTGGATTGATGGATGTTTTTGCTCTGCTTTTTTAGATCATATATCTTTTTATTGTTGGTGATGTAATCTGATTTCAGTTCTGCAAAAATCCATGAGTGTACTGTGTGTGTGTGTGTGTGTGTGTGTGTGTGTGTGTGTGTGTGTGTGTGTGTGTGTGTTTTTAGCTGATGGACATGTCTGCATCAATCATACACGACACAGACGTCCAGCCTCCCATCAGCCCTTTACACTTAGCGGTGAGTTCAGTTTTCATATTTTCTGTTCATATTTCTATTCTGTATTGTGCAATATGTCTTGTTCAGTCGAAAAACTCTATTTGTAAAAAACAAAAAAAATTAAATTGGGTTGTAATATTGTTATTGTTAACTAAAATAATTAAATTAAAAATAATAAAGATAATATTTGCTACTTGAAATAAAGCTCAAATAAAATGTAAATATTAAGTTAAAAAAATAAAAATAAAAAATATATATATATATTTTTTATACATACAGTAAATATACCGGCCACTTTATTAGGTACACCTAATCAGCCTAACGCAAATTTCTAATCAGCCAATCACATGGCAGCAACTCAATTTCGGCATGTAGACATGGTCAAGACGATCCGCTGCAGTTCAAAGTGAGCATCAGAATGGGAAAGAAAGGGGATTTAAGTGACTGAACATGGCATGGTTGTTGCTGCCAGACGGGCTGCTCTGAGTATTTCAGAAACTGCTGATCTACTGAGATTTTCATGCACAACCATCTCTAGGGTTTACAGAGAATGCTCCGACAAAGAGGAACTATCCAGTGAGCGGCAGTTCTGTGGGCGCAAATGCCTTGTTGATAAGGCCAGAGGAGAATGGCCAGACTGGTTCCAGCTGATAGAAAGGTAACAGTAACTCAAATAAGCACTCGTTACAACCGAGCTCTGCAGAAGAGCATCTCTGAACACACAACACGTCCAACCTTGAGGCGGATGGGTTACAGCAGCAGAAGAGCACACCGGGTGCCGCTCCTGTCAGCTAAGAACAGGAAACTGAGGCTACAATTCACACAGACTCACCAAAACTGGACAATAGAAGATTGGAGAAACTTTGCCTGCTCTGATGAGTCTCCATTTCTGCTGCACATTCAGATGGTCGGGTCAGAATTTGGCCTCAACAACATGAAAGCATGGATCTATCCTGCCTTGTATCAGTGGTTCAGGCTGGTGGTGGTGTGTAATGGTGTGGGGGAGATTTTCTTGGCACACTTTGGGTTCATTAGTACCAATTGAGCAAGGTGTTTGTGTGTTTCAGGCGTATCACGGTCACCATCACGCCCTGGAGCTGCTGGTTGAGTCTCTGCTGGATGTGGATGTGAGGACGCCGCAGGGTCACACACCTCTCAGTCTGGCGGCGTTTAAGGGTCACGTGGAGTGTGTGGAGATCCTGCTCGCTCAGGGAGCGTCTGTCATGCTGAAGGACTACACACACAAGAGGAACGCCGTTCACTGCGCAGGTCTGCAACACACACACACACACACACACACACACACACAATTGTCGATTTAAAATATACATAGAAAAACTCACCGGCCACTTTATTAGGTACACCTTAGTAATACTGTGTTGGACCCTCTTTTGCCTTCAGAAGTGCCTCAATCCTTCATGGTGTAGATTTAACAAGATACTGGAAATAAAACTTTTGATGATCAAATTGCCGAAGTGTGTTTTCTGTGTGTTTGTATGTGATTGTGTGTTTGTGTCTTCAGCCATGAATGGTCACTCGGAGTGTGTGCGTCTGCTCATCAGCAACTCTGACCAGCAGATCAACATCAACACACGGGACGGGAGAGGACAGTGAGTCTCTCAGCACATGTGTGTGATTCAATAACACAGAATTGTGTGACTGGGTCTGTGTGTGTGTGTTGTGTTCAGGACTCCTCTGATGTTGGCTGTTCTGGGTGGACACACAGATTGTGTGTATCTTCTTCTGAGTAAAGGAGCCAGTGTGGAGGCCAGAGATAAATGCGGCAGGACGGCCCTTCACCGTGGGGTCAGTCTCACACGCACGCACACACACACACACACACACACACACACTTACAGAATATGCTTCTATTCTGTAGTCCCCGTATAACATGAAAACTGAGCATGTGTGTGCGTGTGTATGTGTTTGTATGCATGTTTGTATATGTATGTTTGTGCTTATGCGTGTGTGTGTGTTTGTGTTTATGCGCATGTGTGCGTGTGTGTGTGTGTGTTTGTGTGCGTAAGTGTCTACATGCATGTATGTCTCTATACGTTTGCTTATGCGTGGATTTGTTTGTGTGTGTGCGCGCCCATCCATGTTTGTGTTTATCTGTGCGCGTGTGCGTGTGTATTTGTTTATGTGTGTGCTTAATGCATGTGTTTATGTTGATGTGTGTGCTTATGCATGTGTGTGTGTATCTGTGTGTGTTAATGTTTATGTGTGCGTTTATGCGTGTGTTTATGTTTATGTGTGTGTGTGTGTGTGTGTGTTTATGTTTGTGTGTTTATGGGTGTGTGAGTGTTTATGTTTATGTGTGTGCGTTTGTTTATGCATGTGCGTGTGTTTGTTTGTGTGCGCTTATGCCCATGTGTGTGTGTGTGTGTGTGTATGTTTATGTTTGTGTGTTTATGGGTGTGTGAGTGTTTATGTTTATGTGTGTGCATTTGTTTATGCATGTGTGCGTGTGTTTGTTTGTGTGCGCTTATGCCCATGTGTGTGTGTGTGTGTGTGTATGTTTATGTATGTGTGTTTATGGGTGTGTGAGTGTTTATGTTTATGTGTGTGCGTTTGTTTATGCGTGTGCGTGTGTTTGTGTGTGTGTGCTTATGCCCATGTGTGTGTGTGTGTGTGTATGTATGTGTA